TATATATTTGGAAAAAGTTGCATATGTTAACACCTTGCCTATAAACATTGTGTATGATAGCAACACTTTTGAGAATTCCTGTGGGTATCCAGGTCAAGACATGTTGTTTTAGACTGCAGATGGAAGGAAATTGAAACCTTCTGAGTAGGCACTGAATTAATCATATTACAATCTTGTGAAACCTATTATATGTCAGCAGTTGCAGTCACATTAGGCCAGGGGGACTTACAGTGGTTCCATTGCATATAGGTTTATAAAACATACTGAATAATGATTAATGGCCATAATATGAGGACTCAAATTTAGCTACAAGTAGAGATTCCAATCACATATTGGTGTTTAGAAATCTTCTTATTGTTTGCACAAATTTAAATAAAACTACTTTTATACTTTGGTATATAAAGAAAGTATCAATGGAAATAATAATTGAATTCCTCACCTACAGTTTGGCTTTGACATCAGGACCCTACTGCACATATTCCCATCAGGGAGTGAAGTTTATGGCAGATGTAATTGAACATTTTCAGGCAGAACAAGTTGGGATTCCAAAGAGAATGGCAAATTGATTTGACAGAATTTGGGATTCAGAATGGCTCGGGGTTCTATGTGATTAGAAGTTAGGGATACTGTGTCCTCCATGCACTACCAAAGGAAGAAGTATATATGTTTTTTCTTTTTTTTTATTGGCCTGACTGGAAGGCAAGAAGCAGGATAAGAAGATTGAGGAAAGAGTAAAAACTATGAGAATAGGAATGTAAAACAAATCATCCAGAAATGGTGGAACATGCCAGATACACTGAGAAAGTTGAACCAGGAATTCAAAGCCAGGATGGACAACATAACAAGGTGCTATCTTTTAAAAAGAGAAAAGAGGATGAAGAAAAAAATCCTATTAAGTCTGTATCATTGATAAGTCTCAACTAAACTCTCAGAAATAATTTTTTTTGTAGAACATAATAAATACTCTCTGTAATACTTTGTTGTTTTTTTTTAAAAAAAAGCGGTTCACAATTTTGTCGTAAAATTAAAATTCATCTTCTTACAAGAATAATGTGATGAGTCAATTTTAAGATTACAGCAAGAAAGCCAGGCTCCAAGAGCCATCTGGAACAATCTCCTAACTTTATGATTTTATGTGGGAGAAATTTAGGGAACATTTTACATTTTACCGTGAGTGCTGCTCAGTACATGCAGATAGGAATCCAGGAAGTTTGTTGCGTAAGTTCTCATAGTTTGGTATTTTAGTGTCCAATAAAGGAGACAGACTGAAAAGCAAAACAAAATTTAAAAAAAAAACACATCTGTGCCACTATAAAGAGAAACATACGTGCCATTTTAATAGAGAACATAGAATTCTATATTTGACAGCAATACCAATAAGCTTATCTAAGCTGTGGCTTATGAGTAGCTTGCAAAGCAGCTGCAGGTCGACAACTTTTAACATTATTGTTTAAGCAGGCTTAATAATTGAATGTGAGCTTGTCTCATATAATAAAATAATTTAGAGGTTAAAATAATCTTGTAGTAGCTATGGTATCAAAGATTATTTTATAAATATTAATTTGGCCATGATATTTTTATATTTACATATACAGCTTTGCTAATATTAGAAAAATGAATAAAAATACTTTCTAAATTAAAGAGGTGTCTCGGTTACTTTTCTCTCATGGCTGGAACAAAATACCTGACACCCAAAATTAAAGAAGGATTAATTAGCTCATAGTTTAGTGGAGGTTGTAGTCCTCCAACTACAACCTCCACTAACTGCTCACAGGGCTCCAAAGAAGAGTAGAATATGGAAGAGGGCAAAAGTTCATGATGGTAGAAAACAGCAAAACTGCAAGAGCATAAAGGCGGGTGCAGTGGCAGGGGCAGCAGGGGCAGAGAGCTAGCCCCTCTCCCTTCCTTACGCTGCATGCGGGCTGTCTGCCCAAGGGAAGGTGTAGCACTCATACCCATAAGCCCAGCATTGGATCATAAATTAATCACAAACTCTAGAGGTCCACCCCATGCCTGCATGAGACTTTGGGAGGACACCAAGACACAACCCATAACAGGAAGCTTTGATACTTATGCATATCCATTGTATTTTATTTTTTATATGGGGCTCTAGACAATTGCTCATCACTCCAAATGGCCCAAGCAAAGCAAGCAGTTTGACCTGCATGATCCAGAAAACAGCTTGAATAAAAAGTAAATGGCTTTGAATGAAGACATTGAAGTGAGATACAATGTAGGAAAGGTGCAAAGGAGTGATCTTTCACTGTGGCATTGGAGAGGAGCCTATGACACACCTTTGCATTCCTAATGATAATATGACTACTGTCATTATTAAAATCTGATAACTCCAAAAGCTAATGAAATATTAATTTATTCTATACATAATTTTAAAGTCATAGGAGAAGTGCTCATTTTCTTTCATTTGCATGACACGTACACTAAATTTAACATGATTTAAGATTTTGTAAAAAGTCCACGTATGTTTATATGCTCATGAATTATTACAACTTACAAAAATATACATATTTTTGTGTTGCTTATTTTTTTTCTTTTTCTCCTTTTAAATTCTTATAACATTTTTCTTGTTTGCTTTCTCATTTCAATTTTGCGTGCATAGTTCTGGTAACTGTACAACAAATCTGAAGACAATATTATGCAATACAACAGTCAAATGTGTAATATTTTGTTCAGTGAAATATTGCATCATTTCTAGTTTCTATTTTATATTACTATTCCGTATTCTCTTTAAAAATAAAAAATATACAAATAATTACTTACAGTAAGACTAAATAAATATAACAAGATCAATTCATGAAGTAATTGAAGAGGTGGAAATTATTTATTTTGTCCATTGTGTTTATATAATGATGACTTGGTTGTATGACAATCTGAAATGCTGTTTTCTCTACTTATTGCTGCCAAGAGTTTGCTAAAGTGTACATATTTACCTGCATAGGCATTGATTGTTTAATACACTGGTTAAGCAATATTAAGAATTATAGAAAAACAATTCATTTATTATTCACTTTTAAATACACTGTAAGGTATTACAAAATGAAAACGAGCTGTTATAACAAAATATGTAAAAACTATGAATGTGTGCATATACATGAAGATTATTTTTCCTTGATAATTAAATTCAATTTAAATTCGTACCCGAGTTTTTGTACAAAACCTATGTGTTCCAAAGTTTAAAGTTTATACTTAACATTTATGAGAAGTAATAAAATTACTAGCCATAGAAAACTTAATTGAAGAATATATCCTTGACACCAAGAGAGGATTATTGGAACACAAATATCAACTTGGTTATGTGTAAGTAAATTACTTATTTCTTATTAAATACTCTCTTAGGACTCCTTCACCTAACCTCAATAACTTTTCCAGAATATTTGTACTTCATCATGCAAATCAAGACTTGGATTTGCTTTCTGTATTCCAGGAATAAGTGGTTATTCCTTTTTCATGAAAAGTGACACTTTTTTGAAAAAGAAATAAGTCCTCTCAGCCACATTCTGTCAGCATTATTGCAGAGTACAAAAGACTGTGAGTGTGACTGCATGTGTGTGTGTGTGTGTGTGTGTGTGTGTG